TGTGACAAGAAGACAGTAATGACCTTGGCTATTCCTCCTAGGACCACAATGTTGACAGTCGTGTAGCATCCTTCAGGAGTCATGAAGGGGTTTTGCTTTTTGAACAAATTCTAAAGAATAGTCTAAGTGGAGACAGACTCAATGTTCCTTCTCAGTATTAACTGTGGTGTGCTCAGAAGCCTTCTCCATGAGCTCCTGTTCACTCCCTTCAGGGCTCTTCTGCAGAGTCGCTGTGACAGGCTGGCCTGTCCAGTGTTTAAGGAAGCTATGGGGATGCTGGGTGCGGTGTCTCACGCCTGGGATCTCAGCACTTTGTGAGGTTGAAGCGGAAGGATCATATGAGTCCAGGAGTTGAAGACCAACCTGGGCAACACAGCGAGACCTTATCTCCACAAAAAATAAAAAAATTAACCAGGCGTGGTGGCATGTGCCTGTAGTCCCAACTACTCAGGAGGCTGAGGAGGGAGGATCGTTTGAGCACAGGAAATTGAGGTGGTAAGCAGTGATTGTGCCACTGTATTCCAGCCTGGGTGACAGAGTGAGACCCTCAACTTAGAAAGAAAGAGAGAGAGAGAGAGAGAGAGAGAGAGAGAGAGAGAGAAAGAAAATAAAGTCCATGGCATCAGTATCTTCGGTCACTTAGCCTCAAGCCCCTGAGCTTTCCCACTTTTCTTCCCTATCCCCCTGTCCCTCGCTGACTGCACGCCTGGTGACTCTCGGTGGCTGTGTACCTGGTGACTCTGCCTCCCACATCTTCAGTGTCCAACTTTCCTCACCCTGACTCCTGCCATGGACTTGACTCTGGCCTTGTTACCTCCCACCTCAACTACTGCCTCCCAGCTGGCCTCCCTACCCACCTAGCCTCTGCAGTCACTCATCAGGATCTCTGAAAGCCCACCCGGTGCGGCTCGCCCACTTCCCTGCTGAAACCCTCAGGACAGGCCCACGCTCCTGTCTGGTGTGGATATACCTTCCCAACATGGTCTCCGATAGCCATTTTGGTGTCCTGCACCGCCCCGAGCCCCTGATCCTGTCATGATGAGACGCTTTGTTCCCTGAACACTCAGTGCTCTGCCATCCTGCTGTCTTCCTCAGTGTCCTAGGAAACTTCCACTTATCCTTTAAAACCAAACCAGGGTGTCACTTCCTCTGAAACCTCCCTGCGGCTCCCACCCACCTCTGCCCACTCGTCAGTGTCCGAAAAGGCATGGGCTCAACCATGCCTGGACTGGGAATCACACCCTCCTCTCCTCTGCCTGTTGTGTCATTGTGAAACCCTCTCCAAGAGACCCTCACCCTCCCTCGGAGCTCGGAGCACTAGGCTCAGTGCCCAGTTGGGGTCCTGTCCGTGCTTGCTGGCAGGATTGGTAAAATAATGAATAAGCCACTTAAACTTGAGCCTTGATCTGCTAGTTTCAGAGCAAGATATTTGTTTTATTTATGTATTTATTTGAGTCAGGGTCTCACTCTGTCACCCAGGCTGGAGTACAGTGGCACGATCATGGCTCACCTCAGCCTCGACCTCCTGGGCTCAGGCGATCCTTCCTCTTCAGCCTCCCGAGTAGCAGGGACTACAGGCATGTGCCACTAATTTTTTGATTTTTTTGTTTTGTAGAGACAAGATCTTGCTATGTTGCCCAGGCTGGTCTCCAGCTCCTGGGCTTAAGCCATCCTCTTCCCTCAGACTCCTAAAGTGCTGAGATTATAGGAATGAGTCACTGTGCCCAGCCAGCAAGATATCGGAGTAAAGTCCATCCAAGTATTGGAACAGTATGTTAGGAGATCACATATCACAGAGCATGAACTTAGAGGACATAAATCAACTCAAGGCATCCCGAATTTTCCTGGATAGATTGGTCCATGTCTGACAACTGCTTTTAGTAGCTAGAGCAGGAGATGCGTGGAGGTGGGCATTCTGGAAGCAGACTCCAACCTGGTGTTCTGAGGTCTTAACAGTTACTTAGCAAAGACGTGCAGATCTTTGCTATGGGCAGACACTCTTCTAAGCTCCTAGCAAATAATCACTCATTAAATAGCATAACAAATGTATGATAAAGCAAGGGTATCCAACCTCTTGGCTTCCCTGTGCTGCGTCGAGTCAAGAGAAATTGTCTTGGACCACACAAACTATATGATATAGTTAGTGTATACATAATAAGACTTCTTTTATTTTTAAATATTTTTTATTATAAAGTTTAGAAAAATGAGAACAATATAAAACTAGTGGGAAATTTGACCTTGTTTTTGTAAAACTAATGCATCAGTGTCTGGTTTGATGGAAGTATTTGCAATTCTTAGTGAGTTCTCAAGGTGCTCGTCAGAAATGGTTGCTTGAATTTTGCTCTTAGTGGACCTCATCACTGAAATTAGTTGCTCACAAATGTACGTGTTGCCAAAAAGTGATGTCATGAATGAGGCGTGACTATGAACTTCAAAAATGGAACCATGTTGGAGTCATGAAGAAAATCAATGCTAAGAAACATGTGATGTTAAAAGATTTTGTGGGGCCACATGACTAGCTGTCCTGGGACCAGGTTGGACATGTCTGACATAGATACTATTATTATACCCATTTTACAGATGAGGAAGCAGGTCATGTGAAATATTCTTTCTTTTGCATGTACCGTTTATTCTCTCCCTGCCATCCCACCTCCGACATGTAAGCCACCATTCTCTGTGCCCTGGTGGCACCATTTGTATACTTAGCAGTTGCTACATTATGGGATACCTACCGTGTCAGTCTCTGTCACTGTGAACTTGGACACTTTTCTTAATTTTAGTTTCTTTGTTTGTAAAATGGGCACAGCGCTCCTTGCCTGGCAGATTGGCTGTGAGGCATCCAAGCACCTGTTATGATTCCTAGGTCCCAGGCTCAGAAGTGAGCTTTTCCAAGCTTGTCTTTTTTCTGTCTTCCTTGACTCGTTGTTGATATAACACAGGTGTTGTCCAGTGAAAAACCGAAGGGAAGGGAGAAAAGGAAGACAAGAATGATCCAACATTGAGGCCACTGAGGGCAGAGAGAGCATCAGCTCTCCATAGTCCCACTAGTGACTGACAGCTCTGGCCAGGCCACTGGCCTGGGCATTGGTGGTGCTGGTGAGGATTGCTTTAGCAGTGAGATAGCAGGCAGGGACGTGCAGGACTTGTGGGTGGGATAGGTAGGGAGGGAGGTGGAGGGCTGGATGCCAGGTCTGGGCTGGACGACAGGGGTCTGGCATGTTTGTTGACAGGACATGTGAACCCTAGGACACGACATTGGGTGTGTCCTCCTCCTGTCCTAGCTGGGCACCAAGGTCCAGCCTGGAGCCCTGCTGACCCCTGGTACACATCTCTCACCTCCTTGTGGCTGGAGTGTTATACATGCGGGGGAGCTTGAGCTGAGGTCCTGGAGGTAGGTCTGAGCTGCGGTGTCCTTGTCTGTGAACAAGGGGACAGTCCTGCTCAAAGGGGTGTTGTGAGCCCCAGTGGAGCCACACATCACCCTGCTGTGTCCTTTGAGCTATTGCTTAGAGACGGTGAGAGAGAAGGAGAGTCTTCAAGTGCACTGACTGTCCCCGGGGTGGCTGCCATATTCTCTGTAAAAAAGTGACAGGGTGGCCGCCCAGGGCTGAGGACGCTGGTGTCTGTGAAGGCTGCCGTGTTCTGTTCATGGGACACACCCAAGAGCTGACAGCCACAAAGGCCTGGTGGGGTGTGGGGAGGACTTGTGCTTATGGGACTGTCACAGCCAGGAGCCAGGGGACAGGGCAGGGAGACAAGTGCTGGAGAAATGTTGAAGGCTGAGGGCCGTGGGGTTCTAGTGTGTGTGTGTGTGTGTGTGTGTGTGTGTGTGTGTGTGTGTGTGTGTGTGTGAGAGAGAGAGAGAGAGAGAGAGAGGGAGGGACAGAGACAGAGGAGAGAATGAGAGGAGAGAGACAGAGAGATAGAGAGGAGAAAGAGAGAGACAGAGAGGAGAGAGATGAAAGACAGAGAGAGGAGAGACAGAGAAAGGGGAGAAAGTGACAGAGAAAGGAGAGAAAGACACACACACACACACAGAGAAGAGACAAAAACAGGAGAGAGAGAGAGAGAGAGAGAGAGAGAGAGAGATACCTGCACACACATGTTTATTGCAGCATTATTTACAATAGCAAAAACATGGAACCAGTCATGCTACCCATCAGAAGAGGCCTGGATTTAAAAAGTGTGGTACATATACACAATGGAATATTATGCAGCCATAAAGAAGGTTCCAACTCCTGTGGGCTGTCTCCCTGCTCTCTTGATGGTTTCTTTGGCTTTGCAGAAGTTTGTCAGTTTGATGAGGTCCCACTTGTCTATCGTATCACTTATGGCATGGGCATTAGAGGTTTTTATCGGGAATTGGTTGCTAGTTCCAATTTCCCTTTCTTTCTTTGGGTTGGTGTTTCATTCTGTTGTCCAGTCTGGAGTGCAGTAGCACAATTTTGGCTGATCACAGACTCCAACTCCTGGGCAGGCAGTCTTCTCTCTTCAGCTTTTCAAGTAGCGACTACAGGTGCATGACACCATGACCTGTTAATTTTTTGCAGAGATGAGGTCTCACTATGTTGCCCAGGGTAGTCTTGAGCTCCTGGGCTCAAGAGATCCTTCCACCTTGGCCTCCCAAAGTACTAGGATTACAGGTGTAAGCCACTGCACTCAGTTCAATGCTTTGACTGTCATCGAGAAGATGAGGTTGAACAAAGTATTTGTCTGGGAGGAGAAGGCAGCAGTAAAAGAAAATTCATTAGTTCTACAGCCTTTTGGGGACAGAACAATGTCATCTTGAGAAATGAAAAGATTTAATAATTTTGATTACAATCATCACAGTGCTAGTATTTTGAATGGCTTTGATAGTGAGAGACATCATTTAGGTAATGATTAAGGAAACTGCAGTATTGTGAATCTGTAATTTCATGAATAACTATCACTGTGAATAACATTTGCTCTAATATCTTACCATTGTTTGTAATGCTTCTCCTCCTTTTTTTTTTTAACAGAAAAAATACAGAAAGGGGTTTATTGATATTTCAAAAATCAAGTGCGTGGAGGTAGTGAAGGATGATGACAGCGCCATCCCCTGTCAGAATAAGTATCCATTTCAGGTGAGCCAGCGAAGTGTGGCTGCGCAGTGCTGGGTGGCGGTTGTGTTTGCTGTCTGGCACCGTAGTGTCCTGTCCTTGCTTCCATGACTGGTTTTTAGTTCATTTACTTCCTTAATTGTTACTGCTTTTCTTTATGAACTGCTTAAGTCTTTGTTGAAACAAGATCTTACTCTCATTTTTGGTCTATTAGATTCCGCCAGTGAGCCTGGATTTCCAAACTCCAGACTTTATTTACTAATATTCAGATTTGATCACAGAGTAGATAGAATAAGGAGTGGGTCTGAGGCTGAAAAACATGGGATGAGGCCAAGTGTGGTGGCTCACGTCTGTAATCTCAACACTTTGGGAGGCTGAGGTGAAAGGATCGCTTGAGCCCAGGAGTTGATGACCAGCGTGGGCAACATAGCAAGACCTTGTCTCTACAAAAAATAAAAAAATTAGCTGGGTGTGGTGGCACACACCTGTTGTCCCAGCTACTCAGGAGACTGAGGAGGGAACCCAGGAGTTTGAGGCTGCAGTGAACCATGATCATGCCACTGTGCTTCAGCCTGGGCAACAGAGTGAGACCCCAACTCAAATAAATAAAAAAAAAAAGAAAAAGAAAAAATGAAAAGAAAACTGTGTGGTGCGGTTTTCCTTGTGAATTTGAGAAGCATGCCAGGCATGCGTTCCTCTGTGCAGAAATGAGCTGTACTGTTGTGTTATATATTTATTAAATTGTATTTTTAAATAGTGCTCGTGGTGTTTTTCCCCCCACAGTGATCCTACTGCATAAAGAAGGCGAATAGCTTTTTTCACTTGTGACTGAGGAAATCAGGGCTTGTCAGAGTCGCTTTGTGACTTGAGAGCTGGCCAAGCCCCCATGCACACATCAGGCTCTGAGAAGGTGTGGCCTCAGTGGCCAAGCTGCTTCCAGGCCAGGATCTTGGCCAGGATCTTGGCATCACCTGCCTGGGGGCGGGCCACATGAATGTGGATTGGACCCTGAACCTCCCCATCCCCTCTCTATTTGAGGATGTTTTGTGCTTTCCTGGAGCAATGAACATCCCAAGTGAGAATCACCTGCCTGGGACTGTGGTCCGGTCACTCCTCCATCCCGAGGGGAAGAAGCAAACACCTTTTCCCATGAACTTTTGGTCATTTTAAATTGCTGCTGTGAAATTATTCTTTTCATCTGAAACAGACATTTACCAGTGTAGGGGATGGAGGTGTTTGGGAAGCTGTGAGCTAACACCTCGAAGCTTCTGGATGGTTCTCCACGATGGAGCAGTGATGCAGAGGAGGAAGGCCTGGTTTAATTTCATTTTCCCACTTCCTCATTCTGTATGTGTCACTTCCCTGAGGGAGGAGCAGGGACAGAAGCGCTGAAAGAGGGACTCTGAGGCTAGACTGCCTGACCCGCTGGCTCTGGGCGCTTGTACAAGTCACTTGACCTCTCTTGTGTCTGTGTCCCCTCCTGAGAATTGGAAGAAATAGCAGCATTAGCACTCACTTGGTGGAGTTGTAGTGAGAATTAACTGAGGTAATCTTTGACTTGCTTAGACAGGTGGTTAAGAGCAAGATAGGCGCTAGGTGCTAGAATTACTACTGTTATTACTTCTCTTATGATGGCTGCTGCTGTTAATACTACATGCACCACCCAGATAGAGAAGAAAGCCCAGGTTAAATCTTCCTGATTAAGTGTATCTAATGCATACATAATGAGGGATGTGTGTGTATGTGTTTGTGTGTGTAATTTACTTGAAGTTCAGTGGAACTTCTGCCACCCTTCTGATGATTTTTAGATATTTTGTGGGTGACAGGCAGTTGTGGGGAGCTATGGTGCTCCTGATTCCAGACCCAGAATGAGGATTTTTGCTGTTCAAGAACAGGAGATTGCTCTGCAAGTTTGGTTGGTTTTATGAATGAAGGTAAAAGTGGCACAGGACACAGTCCATCCTTGAACTGTTTAAAACTGTTGAGATGAATACATGCAAGAAAGCTTCAAAAACAACCTGACAAAGTTAATCAAGGAGGGCCTGCTTGGACTCTAACCTTGTCGTTTACACCAGAGGATCTGAAGGTGGGAAAGGTCATCTCTTATTACAACTCACACATAGCTAAGACTGTCTAGATCCCAGCACCCATGCTCATGGTGAAACACTGCGTCAGGTTCACGTGCAAGGGGTAAAAGCAGGAGCAGACATTCCCAAAGGCACCAGAAGAAGCCTGGGGTTGCTTCCTCTCCTGCATGTTCCAGTCCCAGAGAGGGCTGGAGAAAATGGGAGGAGTCAGTACCAGCTCTGGGAGCATCTCTCCTTCAAGCTTCCATGGATGATTCACTTCTGATGGGTTGGGCGTTCCCAGGAGGTGTTGGGTTCCAGGCTCAGATCTGTCTGTCTGACATTCATGCTGTTTCTCCTATGCCACACTGACATCAAAAGTTGCAGAATAAATTTTTTTTTGATTCAGGGTCTCACTCTGTTGCCCAGGTGGGAATGCAGTGACGTGATCATGGCTCACTGCAACCTCAACCTCCTGGGCTCAGGTGATCCTCCTGAGTTGCTGGGACTACAGTCATGTACCACCACACCTAGCTATTTTTTTTTTTGTAGAAGTCTTGCTATGTTGCCCAGGCCAGTCTCGAACTCCTAGGCTCAAGTGATCCTCTCACCTCAGCCTCCCAAAGTCCTGAGATTACAGGCATGAGCCACCACACCAGTCAAATGTCTGTTGAATAAATGAATGAGTGAAGGATGCTATGGATGGGGGAGGAAAGCTGCTGGGCTAGTAGTCTACTGAGGAGAGCATTCCCTCCTTGGTGAACAGCTCCTGCACTTCACAGTTTGTAGAGTTCATCCCTTCTCGACAAGCCACTGTGGGAGGATGGCTCATCATGAGACTCAAGGCACACGAGAGACGCAACCTAAACCACCCTGCCACAGCCACCTGTTCACATGGCTGACTCAGGAGGAGGCTGACGGGGTGTGATCTGAGGTTTGCTTTGGGAAGGATGCTGACCCCAAATATGTCCTCAGTCTTCCAAATTACCTGAGATGCTGAAATGAGATGCTTATTATTGGGGTGTAGGGTGGTATTTCTAGAAACTTCTTAGAGAAATACAAATGCCCCAGGTTAGCATATCAAGCCAGTTCTTGACATTTAAACCTGGAATGTGGATTATTATAATTATTATTTTTTAGCTACTCTTTTTTTTTTTTGAGTCGGAGTCTCACTCTGTCACCCAGACGAGTGCAGTGGCTGCTCCCCGCCACCGCAGCCTCGACTTGCTGGGCTCCGGCGATCCTTCCGCCTCAGCCTTCCGAGTAGCCGGAATTACAGGCATGCGCTACCACGCCCGGCTGACTTTTTGATTTATTGTAAAGATGAGGTCTCGCTGACCAGGCGGGTCTCGAACCCGCGGGCTCAGGCAGTCCACTCACCTCAGCCTCCCAAAGGCTCGGGATTACAGGCTGAGCCACCGAGCCCAGCTTTTTAGCTACTCTTAAACAGACTTCAACAGTTTTGCGAGCTTATGATGGTGATCAGAGGAGAGCGTTGAGGAGTTGGATTGCTTGGAGCTTGGAAGGGCAGACCCAGGAGGGAACAGCCAGGGACAGCAAGAAGGTGTTGTGAGGAATATATGAATTAAAAGAGCCTTTGGGCTGGAGGAATCCTGCTCACGTGACTCAATCCCACACACCTGAACAGTGAGGATTCTAACACTCATATGAACCTGGGCTGCTGTACAGATTAAGTGAGGCAGCGTCTGTAACGTGCTTGGCCCAATGTAACTTATCATAATAAGTTTAATTATTATTACTTTTTGAGTTGGAGTCTCTCTCCATCACCCAGGCTGGAGTGCGGTGGCATGCTCACTGCCACCCCAGCATCGACCTGCTAGGCTACAGCGATTGTTTTGCTTCAGCCCTCCGAGTAGCCAGAACTACAGGCACACGCTACCACACCCAGCTAATTTTTGATTTATTGTGGAGATGAGGTCTTGCCAAGTTGCCTGGGCTGGACTCAAACTCTTAGTCTCAAGTGATTCACTCACCTTGGCCTCCCAAAGTGCTGGGATTACAGGCTGAGCCACCAAGCTCAGTCTAATTATTATTCTAATCCACCATGGGTTTCTGGAAGGTCCGAAGCCCTGGCAGTCTTTCCCAGATGTCACCAAGTCCATCTGGAAGGACTGTCTCATGGCACGTTTTAACCCGAGTCCCCTGCACAGAGGTGTTTGCCTGGACAAATCCACAGAGTGTGGAAGTCCTGAGTGAATGAGGCTACGCACCTCCATATTCCTGGGCACTTGACAGTTCTGATGTCAGGTTTCACATTCTGTCTCGTACTAAGGCATTTTTGCACATGTCTTGGAGACAGGCTTTAAGTGTGATTCATTTTTGAGTCTTTTGTAGTCCCAGCAAGGTGCCATGTGTGTGTAGCATTGTTGGTTCCATGGTGTTCACACTGCTGTTAGAGTGTGTGATCTGTGTGTTTAATTAAAATAAGTTGAGTGTGTCAGGAGCAGCCATTTGTCATGATCTAGCTATTTGTTTTTTATCCTGTTGGGTGTGGATGTGGTGAAGGGAGCTTTCTAGCCGTGTATTACTTTGAAGCCAGTCAAGGTGTTTCTACCTTGTGACTGACCATCAAGGGTAAAGTGACAATTTCTGGGTTAGTTTCCCAGGACTTTAAAAATTATTTTTATAATATTAAAAACAATACTGGGCCTGGATGCAGTGGCTCACACCTGTAATCCCTGCACTTTGGGAGGCCAAGGCGAGAGGATTGCTTGAGTCCAGGAATCCAACACCAGCCTGAGTATCATGGTGAGACCTTGTCTCTACAAAAGCATCAAAAAATTAACTGGGCATGGTGATGCTCACAGCAACTTGGGAGGATGAGGTGGAAGGATCAACTGAACCCAGGAGGTCGAGGATGTGGCGAGCTATCATTGTGCCACTGCACTGCAACCTGGCCAATAGAGTGAGACCCCCAGCTAAAAAATAATACAAATATACATTTATATTTATAAATATATAATAAAATAAATAAAATGTAGTTGCCCACTAGGAGCTACCCTGAAGCAGGCACTGTGGTTAAAAGCATGGGCTCTGGAGTGAGAATCCTGCCTTTCTGGGTTGCTAGCCCTGTGGTGATGAGCTGATTAGGTAGCCCATTAGGGGATACCATGATGTTCATGTGGTGTAAATGGTGCCTCCTGGAGAGGTGAAGGACTGGGGGTAGGCCTCAGTTTCTTCATCTGTGAAATGGAAAGACTAATTCTTGATGGCAGGATTCACTGAGTCAATGACCATAAACATGTAACCCAGAGCCAGGGTAATTGGAGCTTAACATGATTGGCTACTGCAGCTGTTGATGATGGCAAGGAAGCTAAAGGAGTGAGAAAAATTGAGAAAAATGCTGGGTTGGAATCATCTCTGTTACACCAAGCTTATCTATGGAACTTGGTTAATTAGATGGAAAGAAATACCAAGATTCGTTGAGCATCCTAGCCTCTGTCTATATTTTTTTCTTCCACACACAGTTATGGCTGGTGGCTCATGCCTGTAATCCCAGCACTTTGGGAGGCCGAGGTGGGGAGTTCAAGACCAGGCTGGGCAACATGACGAGACCTTGTCTCTACAAAGAAAGAAAAAATTAGCTGGGTGTGGTGGCATACACCTGTAGTCCCAGCTACTCGGGAGGCTGAGGTGGAAGGATCCACCTGAGCCCAGGAGGTGGAGGTTGCGGAGAGTTGTGATGGTACTACTGCTGTCCAACCTGGGACACAGAGTGAGACCCCATCTCAAAAACAAACAAACAAACCACAGTTCTTTACAAAATGGGAATCCCACTTAATGTAGAATTTAAAAAGTAGTTTGGTTTTTGGAAGAATCTGGGTTCTCTGCTTTGAATTGGTCCCTGGAGAGTTATGTACTGGTGCCTGTGGTTCCTAGAGTTGCGTGCTGCACAGAGGTGCTCTATTTCTTGCTGATTCTGTCTTGTGTTTTATTTTAGGTTGTTCATGATGCCAACACGCTTTACATTTTTGCACCCAGTATGCAAAGTAGAGACCAGTGGGTGAAGAAATTAAAAGAAGGTAAATTTCATGGGAAGGACTTTGATCTGTGCATAGTTGTAGCAGATGTAACATTGTTATCACTGGACCAGAAATACAGCAGATGTATCTATTGCAGTCATCATCTCCTAACCTATAGTATGTATTTCTCCAAGGATGTTCCCTTGCTATAAGTGACTCCAGTCTCTTAAAGTTAACTTGCCTTTTTAAAATCTGATTCTCTCTAGTGGTTGTAAATAGTTTCTGAGAAAAGTGTGGCTTCGTTTAATGTGGAATATATTTGTAGGTAAAACACGTGTTTTGAGGATTACGGGACTTGGCATTTTTAAAGAAATTCCTCCATAGCCAACATTTGGTGTGGATGGACTGCGTGGTCAGGAAGTGTCTAAATGGGTGATTTGTCTGGCCCAATTCCCACTTTTCTCCTGCAGAAGAAAATGATTGTGTGATCACTTTTGCCCTGATCCATCATGGTGTCATTTCTGCTAACAAGGGTGCTTTACCAAAAAAAACCAAAAAAAAGAAGAAGTGAAAGAGAACCATGAAGCTTTCCTGAATGCTAAGTCACATGGTATTACGAGGGTGTTCGCATAATAAACATGGTACCTGAGAGATGAGTATGATGGACAGGGTTACTTACAAAGCATTCTGTAGTGTCTGTGTGATTTCGCTAATCATCGATGTGTCTATGCATTACAGAAATAAAGAAAAACAATAATATTATGATTAAATATCATCCTAAATTCTGGACAGATGGAAGTTATCAATGTTGCAGACAAACTGAAAAGTTAGCACCTGGATGTGAGAAATATAATCTTTTTGAAAGTAGTAAGTACTCATTTTATTCTACAATTATATTGTGCTCAGAATGAACATATTTATTGGTATGGCAAGAATGTGACATGATTTTAAGTATACTTTGTAGAGCAGTGTAAATTAGGGTAGGTGTGTTTTAAAAGAAGAATTATACTTACTTAGCAGTGGAACCCTCTCATCAAATCAAAGGATTTATTTTGGGGGGAGCTTTTATTACAAGATTAAATCCTGTTAAAAATGAATTCAGGTCAGGTGCAGTGGCTCACAGCTGTAATTCCAGCACTTTGGGAGGCCAAGGCAAGAGAACTGCTTGAGCCCAAGAGGTAGAGACCAGCCTGGACAACATAGTGAGACCTCATCTCTACAAAAAAATAAAAAAAAATTAGCCAAGCGTGATAGTGTGCACCTGTAGTCCCAAACTTCTCAGGAGGCTGAAGTTGGAGGATTGTCTGAGCCCAGGAGGTTGGGGCTGTGGTGAGCTGTGATCATGCTATTGTAAGAAAGCACTCCAGCCTGGGTGACAGAGTGAGACCCTGACTAAAAAAAAAAAAAGAAGAATCTGTTGAAGTGTAAACCTAGCGTGGCCCCATCAGTAGCCTTCTTCACACGAATGCTCTTCCCCACTGAAACTTCCTAGCCATGAGGCTGGAAGCCTCAAAGAGCAAAGCACCTGTGATCTGAGCAGGGCTGTTGTCACCTTGATGGGGCTTAGTGGTCTGGGTTTGAGTAACAGCTTCACAGTCTGTGGAAGCGGCGAGGTCTCATAATGAGACTCATGTAAATGATCAGATGAAAAATGTCTGGGTTAAATCTGATGCTTGAACCCTTAGGCATCCTGGAAATGAGAGGCCCTCGGTCATAAGCTAAACACAGAGATTCAAAGTTGTGGTGCTGCGGGACACCCGTGATGGTGATTGGGTCACGGCCCTTCTCCTGTCCTGCTGCACCATGCGGGGTGCTCGCTGGGTTGGTCAGGGCTCATAGGGCTTCTGGGTCCAAGCGGATCACCCACGTGGCAGAGAGGCCACCAGGCCAGATAACTATCTTGGGCCAAGCAGTCCAGCTCTAGGAGTCTAGCACCCTGATTCTCCTGGGATGTCCTGACGTTCACTTAACTCATTGAAGAGGAAGGCCCATGTTTCCAAGGCTGTTATTGCTTCCTATATATATTTTTTTTAGTTGGAGTCTCACTCTGTTACTCAGGATGGAGTGCAGTGGCATGCTCACGGCCATGCAGCCTCAACCTGCTGGGCTCAGGCGATCCTTCCACCTCAACCTTCCAAGTAACTGGAACTATAGGCACACGCCACCGTGTCTGGCTAATTTTTTGATTGGTTGTAGAGATGAGGTCTCACCAAGTTGCCCAGACTGGTCTTGGACCAGTGGGCTCAGGCAGTCCTCTCACCTCAGCCTCCCAAAGTGCTGGGATTATAGGTGTGAGCCACTGCACCTGGCCTCCTATTTCTTCATTTTCTTAGTTTGATATTAGTGAATGCAGTGTAACCTGCTGTGAAAAGATATCCCAAAGGTACAGTGTCTTAAACCAGAGAAAAATTGATTTCAGCCTCACATAATAATACCAAGGTGGTGAGTGGGTGGTCTGGGGCTGGGAGGAGTGTTCTAGAGTTTGCTCTGGCTCTAGCAGTCTCTCTCTTCCTGGCAGCAGAAAGGGGGAGACGGTTCAAGGATGCCCATGGGAGGTCTTTCAAGAAAAGATCTAACCCGGGCTCGGTAGCTCAGTCTATAATCCCGGCACTTTGGGAGGCCAAGGCGAGTGGATTGCCTGAGCCCACGGGTTTGAGACCAGTTCGGGCAACTTGGTGAGACCTTGTCTCTACAATAAATAAAAAAATTAGTTGGGCATGGTAGTGCGCACCTGTAGTTTCACCTGCTTGGAAGGCTGAAGTGGAAGGATCACCGGAGCCCAGCAGGTGTGCCACTGCATTCCAGCTTGGGTGACAGAATGGGACTCTAACTCAAAAAAAAAAAAAGAATAAGATCTAAAAATGGCAACTGGGCACAGTGTCTCATGCCCAGCTCTTTGGGAGGCCAAGGCAGTAGGATTGTTTGAGCTCAGGAGTCCAAGACCAGGCTGGGCAATGTAGTGAGACCTCATCTCTACAAAAAAAAAAAAAATTAGCCAAACATAGTGGTGTGTAACTAGTCCCAGCTACTCGGGACGCTGAGGTAGAAGGATTGCCTGAGCCCAGGAGGTCAAGGCTACAGTGAGTTGTGATCATGCCACTGCACTCCAGCCTGGTTGGTAGAGTGAGATCCTGACTCAAAAATAAAACAAAATAAAGTGAAAATGTCACACCTCATTTATATCTTTTGATTAGAATTTGGTCCCATGGCCGTGCCTCGCTGGGAAATGACAGTCTTTAGCTTGGGTAGCCAAGCGCCCGCTGAAACTCTAGGACTGTGGAGAAAGGGGCAGACTGCAGAGCTGACTAATGTTTCAGTGGTGTCATGATTTCAGTTTACCGTTTGACTCAACAAGCACTGATGAGTGCCCAGTTTAGGCACCACTGGGTTTACAAAGAGGAAGACATGGCCCCTGAACCCGTGGCATTTATGTCCTGTTCAGGAAGGCAGAAATACAGACCAGCCAATGTGGCAGCTTTCAATTCTGGAATAGAGGTACAAGCCATGTGCACCAGAGTTGGTCAGAGAGGGCTTCTTGTCTATGCGTAAACTCTTAATTTTCCTTAAAATTACTGATACCTTATTTTTATCCATCATCAATAGACAGTATTCTGACCTATTTTGTTGTTGGCGATTTCAGGTATAAGAAAAGCCCTACCTCCAGCACCAGAAACAAAGAAGGTAGGTGGCCTTGGACTTTTGAGGGTTAAGTCTTCAAGTTGAAGTTTTTCAGTCTTTGGTTTTAAACCTTTACATCTTTACATTTTAAGTCTTTGCATCTTTAAGTTTTGGTAGTGTTTACCGTTTACTGAGTATGTTGAATTCATTCACACGACACTGTTTTCCACCAGGACTATCTGAGAAGCAGATGTGTTATGGCTTATTTAAATGTGTCTTGGTGTCAGATAACATTCATTTAATTGTACCCGATTTTGTCATTGGGGTCCTGTTATTGTCTGTGTGGGACTTGAAAGGAATATTTCAGTCTGAAGACCACAGAAAGACAAAGTGGTGTCTTCAGTGATTTCTTGAGATGCTTTTGAGAAGGCGGATATGGTAGAAATCATAGGCACTCTGGGCCCAGCCAGGGCGTGGTCTGACGGGAGTGACCTTGCTGGGTTACTGAAACCACCATCGCTCAGTTGTGAAGTGGAAGTGAATCTCCACTTCCTGGGAGGGTTGCTAGATTATATCAGGCAGGCTTGAGGTCTTTCCTTTATTTGGTGGTGACATGTGACTCCTGTAGGGCTTTGCTTCATGACCAGCTTCCCAGAGGAGACTCAATTTTTCAATGTTCTCTTCTTTGTTCAGCGAAGGCCTCCTCCACCAATTCCGCCTGAAGAGGAAGAGGGCAGTGAGGAAATTGTGGTGGCAATGTATGACTTCCAGGCCACAGAGGCACATGATCTCAGACTGGAGAGAGGCCAAGAGTATCTCATATTAGAAAAGAATGACGTTCACTGGTGGAGAGCAAGAGACAAGTACGGGTAGGTGTCCTGCTCTGTGTGATGTGCACAGGTGGCTGAGAGCTGAGTGGGAAGGTGACGGTGACAGTCACTTGGTGAGACAGTTCCACCGACCATAAATGGGGCACATGTATGACTTTGCAGTGACATAGTGTCTTCCTAGTGGTCACTCAATACGTGCAAACCGATCAATCCCCTCTCTTCACGTTAGAATATATCACACTGGTCTCTTTCTGCTCCTTCTGTGCTTAATTTGATCACTTTGACCTTGGGGAAAATTATGTTTTATGTTTTGTCCCCCTTTGCGGTGAGTAATCTTAGAATTTTTTTTCTTTCCTTTTTGAGTCAATGTCTTGCTCTGTCACCCAGGTTGGAGTGCTGTGGCATGTTTATGGCTCATCACAGCCTTGACTTCCTGAGCTCAGGCCATCCTTCCACCTCAGCCTTCCAAGTAATTGTGACTACAGGCATATGCCACTATGCCCAGATAATTTTATTTTATCTTATTTTTTTGGTAGAAATGAAGTCTTGCAATGTTGCCCAGACTGGTCTTGAATTCCTGGCCTCAAGTAATTCTCCTACCTTGTCCTCCCAAAGTGGTAGGATTACCAGCATGAGCCACCATGTCTGGTCAGATTTTCCTAAGGAATAGTCTATTATAATTTTTTTTTTAGAATTTCCGTCTATATGTCTGTACATATGTGTGTATATATGCACACACGTGCACAGTATACTGAAGCCTCTTCTCACTTGACTTCTGTGACCCCCATGTTTGTATATGGAGAAGTGAGAGGGTATATGAGAATGTGTGTGTATATTTGTGTATATGTGCATATATGTGTGTATGAGGTTTGACAATTAAGTTCGCAAACTCATCCTAGAAAAAGTGCTACATATCTCACTGCTGAGTATCACCACAGTCACTTTCAAAGTACTCCCCTTGGGAAACTATGCACTGATGCCAGTGCCTAGTATACCGTCAAAGCAATTTTGGTACTCTTTCTCTGGAATGGCCATCAGAACTCTTGTGCTATTACCCTTGATGTCTTGAATGTCATCAAATGTCTTCATTCAATAATTCCTTTATCTTTGAGTAAAGAGAAAAGTCATTGGGGGCCAGATCAGTTGAGTAGGGAGGGTGTTCCAATACAGTTATTTTACAGTGCTGCCGATATAAGTGTGTGGTAGCAAGTTCACAAACTTAATTGTCAGTCCTCAACAAATATTGACAATGGTTTTGGTGGCCATTCCAGAAAGAGTTCCAAAATTGCTTGGTTGAGTGGACTAGGCACTGGCATTGGTGCATAACTTCCCAAGGGGTGTCCTTCGAAGGTGACCGTAGTGGTATTTACCGGTGAGGCATGTAGCACTTTTTCTAGGATGGTTTGCCAACCTATATGTTGGACCTCGTATGTGTGTGTGCATGTGTGTATATATAAAACATACACATATGGACATGCAGGCAATTAAACAGCAAGCAATGTGTGTATAAGCTAATTTAGGACTTAAAGGAAACAATCCTCTCCACCCTCTTTTCTATAAATATATGGGTTGATGTGGAAACATGAGGGATGGTACCTTGGGGCTTTGTTAAGAAAGCCCTGTGCCCTGGTCACCTCTGAAGCACAAACTCGTTTATATTTGGGTTCCAATGGGAAGGAAGGGGCGGCACTTTGAGGTGCCAGAACACACGCTTGCTCTGTGTCTCCCCGCTCCTAGTTCCTGGCCTCAGCTCACTTCTGGAGGAGCATGGAACATTCTGGTGTGGGCACGGCCCTTCTCCTGCTCATTCTCAGTAGGGGAGCATGTCTGAGTGCTGGTTTACTGTCATGGTTACCTTCTTTGCAACTCGTAGCTCTTAAGCTTTTATTCCTGTGTTTCAAGAAGGTCGTCACTGCCCCTCTTTGTCAAACAGCAGATCGGATTTTTATTATAAAATTTTTTATTATAAACATTTTGAAACAACCAGAAAGTGCATAATAGCTTAATGGACTCATCACTTGACCTCAAAAATTACCAGTATTTTGCCAATCTTGACTTACTTATCCGGCCATATTTTTCTATAATGTTTAAAAGTAATTCAAGTCATTGTGTCATTTCACTTCTAAATCTAATCTCTAAAGACTTTTTAACCAGCCTGAGCAACACAGCAAGACCTTGTCTCTACCAAGAAAAAAAAAATTAGCTAAGTGTGGTGGCATGCACCTGTAGTCCAAGCTACTCAGGAAGCTGAGGTGGGAGGATAGCCTGAGCTCAGGATTTAGAGGCTGTGGTGGCTGTGACCTTGCTACTAATGCACTCCAGCCTGGGTGACAGAGTGAAACCCTAGTTCTAAAAAAGATTTTAAAAAAATTAGCCAGGTATGGTAGCACATGCCTACAGTCCCAGCTCCTAGGGAGGCTGATGCAGCGGAATGCTTGAGCTCAAGAGTTGGAGGCTGTGGTAAGCCATGCCAGTACACTCCAGCCTGGGCAACACAGTAAAACTCTACTTAAAAAAAAAAAGTGGAATGAGAGTAGACACTTCTCTGACCCATGTCGAAGGATGGAAGCAATGACTCAGTTTTCCTCAATCAGGTCTAATATGTATTCATAGTTGGTTTGTTCAAATCAGGATGCACTCACTGCATTTTGGCTAACATGTCTCTTATGCTTCTTCTTATTCTACAATTGTCCCCATTCTTTTGTCATTTTTAAATTGTTGTTAAAACTAGGTCACTTACCCTGTAAAGTGAGCCATCTTCTAGGTAAGCTGATGGCTTTTCTTAGGGTGTCATTTAATGTGCAACTCCTTATATTTCCTGCAAGCTGGCAATGACAGCCAGAGGCTTGGTCCACAGAAGGTGACTCTGGCTGCCGGCATTTAGTGATGTTGAGCTTGCCCAGCACTTGACCTTATCCCTCCGTCGTAAAGTTCTTCATCCCTACTTCCCCCTGTGATGATGGCATTCGTCCACGATGGTTGCTTTGACCCATGCTTCATTAGGGATTGCAAAATGTAGACTTCCAGGTTGCATCATTCCATCTACCTTGACTCATTCTCTAAAGAACTGCCCTGTCAGTCAGGTCATTTCATTCATGAAGGAAAGGGAGGAGAACATTTTCATTCTTAACCAACTTTAAGAATAATGGGCCGATGACTAAGCTTTCTCTAGTGCTAATAGTGCCAGCTAATAATGTTTCACGATGTGCAGATGTTTGGTCTCAAGCCATTGCTGTCATTAGTCTTTTGGCATGAATAGTCCTATCCTAGGCCAGTGGTAGCTGTGTCTGGTGGAAGACTCATCAGTCCTGCTGAACTTTCCTGCTTTCTGGCTCAGTGAATGGCTCTTGGATTTTTCCTGACCAGACTGACAATTTTGACATTTCCCTAAGGAGTGCTGGCTTCTTTTAGTCCTAAATGATATTCAGAGATGACAGTTGGTTACCAGGATTCGAGCTGCTGCTGCACTATCATTGCTTGGGGCTTTCTCCATGTAGCTGAGCTACATGTATGCGTGTGTGTGTGTGTGTGTGTGTGTGTGTGTGTGTGTGAGAGAGAGAGAGAGAGAGAGAGACAGAGTTCTTCCTAATAGTTCAAATTTAATCTTATAAGGTTTTTATTCAATTTATTGAAAAAATATGTTTATATATATATATTTTTTTAAGTTAGCCGGGCATGGTAGCACATGCCTATAGTTCCAGCTCCTAGGGAAGCTTATGCAGGAGTTCCAAAATCGCTTTGATGGTTAGACTAGGCACTGGTGTCAGTGCATAGCTTCCCAAGGGGAGTACTTCAAGGTGACCGTCGTGATGTTCAACAATGAGGTATGGAGCCTTTTTTCTAGGATAAATTCACAAACTTAACTGTCAGCCTCATTATATTTATCTTTCTCCTATGCTGGAGTTCTCAGCTCCTACCAACAGAGAAGTGCTTATACTATGGTTTGTGTTAAAGTCATCTGGGGTAAAATTGAACATTCTTTGGCCCCACATAAGGCTCAGTTCAGATCTCCTGGGATATGACCCAAGAATCTACCTTTTTAAAAGGTTCCTTAGATGATACTAACCCAAAGGTCTGGTACTGTCCGTTGTGAACTTGTTCTGTCAGGACTGATGAGGTATTAGACTGGAGGGAGTTTTTAATCCAGCACTTTAACTTTTCTGAAGTTATGAGTTCTTTAATACATACAAAGAAATTGTGAATTTTGGGGAAGCATTGTGAAGTATTGGAAGAGTCTGGACATAGTCACCGCTCAGAGTTTAAGTACAAGCCCTGTTGCAGGCTGATTTCGGAACCTTGAAAAAAAAAATCCCCAAATTTTTCTAAGCCTTGGTTTTCCTCCCAGAAAATAGGTATGATGCCTACCTACTTCAGAATTTTTGTGAGGATCAAATGTTGAAATACTTTGTAAAATGTCAAATGAAATAGATCTATTGAATTATTGGGATTGGCTAGTCTTCCCAATAAGCATGAGGCAGCATGCTTTAATTATTCCAGAAAGGCAATAATTTTTCTTTCTTTTAATAACCTCTCTACCAAGCAATTTCAGTTTACTCAAAGTATTTTTCTTGTTTCTAGGAGTGAAGGATATATCCCAAGTAATTATGTAACAGGAAAGAAATCAAACAACTTAGATCAATATGAGTAAGTAAATGTTTATCTTATGAATGTGGAAACCAGAAAATGCTCTCATTTGCCTAATTATTAAGACATTTTGAAAATTAATAGATATGTTTTATTCTCTTTAGAAGTTGGTGTCATCATTAACTTAGTTGTTTAATGTGGTGAAAGACCCTGAGAATTAATCTCTGTGATACTTTTTTCCTAAGGTGCTATGTGTGAATGGAGTTACACAAGTTCTATCATTTACATGCAGAAATGACTTAAGCATAATTGAATTGATTTGAAACAGATCACAACTTAGCTGACTTTGAAATGCAGATCATTGTTCAGTCATTCAAGATATGTGAATAAAATTTCACAGAGTGGCCTTTAAAAAGACATGCCTTATTATACTTTTTTCCTAACAAAAATAACAGTATATAATTCTTATTTTTTTTAAAAACCTTGAGAATATGAAAAAATGTTAAAAAGAAGAATTACTCATAGATCAATGAGAATTGACCTCTATTAACATTAGTATATTTCCTTGCAATCTTTTTACTGTTTTTAAAAAGATAAAACCATGCCGCATGTATTGTTTTATATCCTCTTTTGCATTTACCAGCATATTATGAGTGTTACATATTTCCCCATGAATTTAGCATTCTTTGAGAATGTTTTCCTGGCTCAGTCATTCATTCAGTTATAAATGCATTCATTATTTCCTGAGATCCTGGCTTGTACTGGGCACTGCACTAGGCCTTGAGATTACAACCAAACACACGACCGTACAGTAATTCATGCCATCATTTCCTTGTTTTGTGTAGGTTGTTTCAGGTAGCTTTGCTGTATAAACATAACTGGGACGACCTCTTGCTTTTTAGAGTAGATCTCTAAACCACGCGTATGCGTGAGCTCAGGGCTGTCTGTGAACACTGTGAAGATGCTGATACACGCTGTCAGGTTGCTTCCCAGAGCAGCTGCACATTTATGTGGCCATCAGCAGTGCGTGGCCAAGTTTTAATATAAGGTTTGCCTGTCTCAGATGCTCTGTTGTGGTCATTCTATGGTTGTGTATTGATGCTGTAAAAACAACACTCCATTTCCTCTGTTCACATCACTTACTATAACATGAGTGCAACTTAAGATCTAGAAAAAGGTAGACGGGTTCAGAAGGTCACAGCACTCAGTGGGGTGTGATCCCTGACTGATTTTAGAAGTAGATGGGAGTATAAACTATATATATGAGGTCCGACCATTAGGTTCGTGAATTCATCCTAGAAAAAGTGCTGTATACCTCACTGCTGAATGTCAGTACGGTCAGCTTTGAAGTAGTCCCCTTGGGGAGCTATGTACTGACACCAGCACCTCATCTACTTGTCAAAGCAATTCTGGAACTTTTTCTGAAAAAAAAAAAAAAAAAAAAAAGAGATCCAGAAAGTTGCTTTGACAGGTGAATAAGGCACTGGCATCAGTGCATAACTTCTCAAGGGGAGTATTTCAGAAGGTAGCTGTAGTGATATTCAGCTTAATTCATGAACTTAATGGTCAGATCTGTATATATAAAATAGTGCATCTGCTCTTAAACAGGTTTTAGGAAAATAGTGCAAAATCTTCAGAATTGGGAAGGTGCTAGAAGGTGAAAACTTGGACTTGGTTTTGGAGTGACAGGACTGAGAGCTAACCGATCATTTGAGGAGGGTGTTTGGAAACCAGATAACCTATATCTCAGTATGAGTAGGCCTTCTCTCTTGCCTCATGAGATTTTAAATAGAGATGTTAGATGCTGATCTGTGCTTCACGGCCATGGGTTTTGGGCTATCTCTTAATCTGACATTTCCTCTCGTCTGAGAGATTCACCTCCTCTGTGTGACTCTGGACTTCTGTGGCTGGTCCCTGGCGTGAGAACTCACCTCCACGCTGTGCTAAGCCAGGGATGCCGCCTGGCACTGTGCCATGCCCAGAAGATGACCACAAATACCTGTTCCCATGTGGGAGACCCCGTTCTGCTATCTTCCTACTCCATGTTTTGGCTTTTATTTTGATTTTTCGCCACAGCTCATCCTGCAACACATCTTTAACATCCCCAGGGCTCAATACAAAAGTCTTCTCCAAGTGTTGAATGGATAGTTCTTCTGCTATTTGCTGGGGCCCAGGAGAAATCCCAGGAGCAGACTGTCCACTGGGCTGGACTCAGGATCGCCGACCCTGTGACTCCCAGGACTGTCAGGAACCTGGCTGTGACCTCCACACTCCATCAGCTCTGTAGGAAGGAGAGGGCTCAAGAAGCCAGTGCTGGGAAAGAAAGTGAGCTCGTTGTGATGGTCAATGATAGGGCATTCTTGATGGTAAGATGTTAAGGGAAGGAAGTGACAGAAATGAAAGGACACTTAGAACTGGAAGAAGTTGCCGGGCACAGTGGCTCATGCCTGTAATGCCAGCACTTTGGGAGGCCAGGATAGGAGGACTGCTTGAGCCCAGGAGTTTGAGACCAGCCTGGGAAGCATAACAATAAATAAAAAAAACTAGCTGGGCATAGTGGCACGTGTTTGTAGTCCCAGCTACTCAGGAAGCTCTGCAGTGGAAGAATACGATAGTCTGAGCCCAGCAGGTTGAGGCTGCAATAGCTATGATGGTGCCACTGCACTCCAGCTTGTGTGACAGAGTGAGACCCCAACTCAAAAACAAAACCAAAAAACCCCCCAAACAAACAAACAAACAAAAAGATGAACTGGAAAAAGACGAGGATAAAGACTTTGAGGGGGTGGCTTAGGCGTGGTGTCCAGATTAGAGAACAGCTAAGACTGACAGCCAGTCAGTGGGTTGGTTTATATTTTCCTTCATTTCTACCACTTCTTTTCATGACACGCCCTCACCCATCTTCTCCAAGAAGCTTGGCCAGGATCTGACCTTTCCAACAGAGACTAAATGCCCTAAATAAATCTCTTCCTTCCCTTTATTCAGACACTGTTTTGAGGCGACCAGACAATAAAACTAATTCACATTAAGGTTCTGATAGAACAACTTGATGAATTGCCCACAAGTCACAGGCTTGATATCTGGACGTGTCCTTCCTTCCGCAAAAGGTATTACACCCCAGTGAGGCATTTCTGTGGCAGCTTCCGAGAGGCCTGTGATATCTATGGCCACACTCCCTGGTCCTGTGGGCTCCTTACCATTTTCAAAGTGCGTATCGTCCCTCCTGATGAGAGAACTCAGGGGATCTGCTGTGTCTTTTCCTTCTTGCCTGGGGATGAACAGTCACAGGAGAGGAAGGAGAAGCCCTGAACTGCTAGAAATACCCACCCCTGGCTTATTCATCTGTTTTTGTTCTTCCCTCCTCCCTCCTTCAACTACCCTTAAAGGCCTGAATTTATGTCCCAAGGAAGGGGACACCTTTTCCAGGGAACCTGAAAATGCTATAAAAAGGGAATGCTTCTATACTGTTGGTGGAAGTGCCCGCGAGTTCAGCCTCCATGAATAGCAGTGTGGCGATTCCTGAAAGAACTGAAAATTGACTTCCATACCATCCAGCAATCCCCCTCCTGGGAATATACCCAGAGAAGAATTTTATGTTCTCTGAAAAAGACACTTGCACGTGTATGTTTATTGCTGCGTTATTTACAATAGTAAAACATGGAACCAACCTTGCTGCCCATCGAAAGTGGACTGGATAAAGAAAATGTGGTACATATACACGATGGAGTATTACGCACCCATAAAGAAGGACAAAATCATGGACTTTGTGGCAAATTGAATCGGGTTGGAGACCCTCATACTAAGCGATCTATCACAGAAACAAATAACCGAATACTGCATGTTCTCAGTGGGCCCTGAACGCTAGTTGCATTAGCACAAGGGAGGGATTAGCAGTCACTGGGCACTGCCAGGGGGGGTCATGACAACACAAAGGGTTCCCACCTGTGGGAGTGAGGGCCAGCTGGAGGCCCAGACTTCACCTGCATGCAGCCTACTTATGAAGTTAATCCTCACTTGTACCCCACATCTCTATAATAAAATAAAGTAAACAAACAAACCAAACCCAAAAACCAAAAAACGACCCTTCAGAATGAAATTTCAGAGCTGCTGCCCATGGGCAGTGGCCTTTTTCTTTCCGTATTCCCTCCCGGGAGCTGGCACTGAGCAATGAGGAAGGCACCTCCTTCTTCCTCTGTCTTGTGTCTGGATCTGCTAGAGAGAGCCACGGTGGAGCCTCTTTCCTGCGTCTGTACCCGAGATCACCCCGTGGCTTCCTCTGTGCAGATATGGGGCCAGGTCTTCTATTCTCAATTGGTTTTTTTTTCAGGTTCTCAAATCCCTCTGGTTTATAAGACATAATTAGAGCTCCAGTGTTCTTTCCTTAGTTAATTTTTGGTGGTTGTTTTTGGCATTTGACACATTTCTCGTATGCATGGAATAGTGTCTGTCCTCCAATGTATTGTGTTTTCTCAGTTGTGTTCAGAAGTAGACAGATCCCAGCTGCAATTTTATGGAACATGGTCTCATTTCAGAAAGTGGGTCCTGGGTAATGAGATGCTGACAGTTCTGAGGGCTGGCTCATCACCTTGGAGTCCAGATAAAATATCTAGTGTCCTCAGCTTCACTGAGGTTGTAATCGCATTTGATTGCTACCCAAAGAATCCAGAGAGAACGATCTCGTGCTGTCTACTGTTCTTTGCACACGTCCCTACCTCTATCAGGGAAGTCCTCTATGTTCCCTTGTCTCGGGGTGTTTGCGGGGCCAGAAGCAGATGCTGAATCTTTCATGAAAGGTTGAATGCAGAGAAGCCGGGCTGGTTTTACACCAATTGCAGAGTATATGACTGTGGGAGATGGTTCCCTGGCCTCTAAAAAGCATCTGTCAAAACCAGTTTAAACCTGAAGGCCTGCTGGGCATGGTGGCCCACACTTAAAATCCCAGCATTTTGGGAGGCTAAGACAGGAAGCTCACTTGAACCCAGAAGTTCAAGACAAGTCTGGGCAGCACAGTGAGATCTCATCTCTACAAAAATAAAATAAAATAAATTAGCCGGGTGTGGTGGTGCACACCTGTAGTCCAGCTACTCAGGAGGCTGAGGTGGGAGGATCTCCTTAGCCCAGGAGGTTGAGGATGTGACAAGCATGATTGTGCCACTGCACTCTAACCTGGATGACGGAGTGAGACCCCAGCTCAAACAAAAGCAAACAAAGACCCACTAAAAGCCAAAATGGTCTTGAGTTCATATTCTTTGGCTTGTTTTCTTTCAATGACATGGAGGGATTGATTGTGCTAGGGAAATAGAGAGAAGGAGTATCTCTGAGGATGAGGTGGGTGAGAACAGTATCGAGAAGGTGCTCTGGAGGTTAAGAAGGGGGCACAGATCGCAGGGCCTTGGGGTGTGCCATGGGGTGGTGGCCAGACCTGGCAGGGGGAGATGCAGGTATTCTGATGGTAGCGCCTCACAGTCATGGGGCTGGGACTGTGCCGACCTGAGCGTCTGGAAGACCCAGGAGACTGCTCCAGGATTTTCAGTTTCTTTGGACTCTTGGGACCTTTGTGAAGTCTTGTGAGGAGTCTCTGTAATGACTTGCGATGAATTCTTCTGCCACATTGGTAGGAGGAGGGCTTGGAATGAGGTTGAACTTGAACTAAAGATGGCAATATAAGGTGATGTTTCCTTCATGTTCAAGTCAGGGGAGTAGCATTCATTCTTGCTGTGATTGTAGTATTGAATAATTGGAAATGCTTTTTTTGGGGGGTCAAGGTCTCACTCTGTTGCCCAGACTGGCGTACAGTGGCACAATTGTGGCACAATTGCAGCACACCACAGCCTCAAACTCGGGTTCAAGCAGAATTTCCTCCTCAGTCTCCCAAGTAGCTGGGACTACAGGCGTGTGCCACCAGTCTGGCTAATTAAAAAAAATTTTTTTGTGGAGATGAGATCTTGCTATGGTGCCCAGGTTGATCCTGAACCCCTGGGCTCAGGCGATCCTCCCACCTCAGCCTCCCAAAGTACTGGGACTACAGGCTGGGACTATAGCTTAAATAAATCATGGCATACCATGATCCAAGGAGCCATCTTGAATTGCAAAGATATTATATACTGATGTATGAAAAAGTCAGATTATGAGATAGTACATACAGTTTGAACCTACTTTACTAAAACAATAGAATATGGACACATATGTATTTTCACACAAATATGCGCAGAAAAATGTCTGGAAGTAGATACATGAAAATGCTACTGGTTATCCATTACTGAGACTACGAGTGATGTCTTGTTCCTATTGGTTATGTTTATTATTGATGAACAGCATTATTAATTCTGAAAAGAGTCAAAGTAATTTTGAAAGCCCAAATGTGTTTTTTTTTCCCTGTTCAGATGGTATTGCAGAAATATGAACAGAAGCAAAGCAGAACAGCTCCTCAGAAGTGAAGTAAGTATTTATACTTGCTTTGTGGATTTGGTTTCAGCTCCAATTAATTCAATGAATTCCTAGTAAGTGGCTCCACAGCTCTCTGCTTCTAGATTGTTCTGCAGTGAGGGAGTCTATGCAAACCTACCCCCAAAGGTTGAGGTTGCTGAAGCTGAAGAAAGAGGCAGACAAAATTTCTCAAAAAGAAACATTTAATAGGGACTTAGAGACAGAAGCCATGTCTCAGGTGGCCTTGAGGCAGGGGGTCTCCACCACAGCCCTCCAGAAAGTATTCTCTATGTGGCAAGCTTTTGGGGTAAAATGTGTGCAGCTGATCGTGTCCTCAGACTTTCTTGCCAAGACTTGTGGCCACTGGGAAGGCTAGCAGGCATCTTCCTGAGGGATTGTCTATGCTACAGGCGCTGTTTGAAGACCTTATTGCAGATACCTTTGTAAGTGGGGGTTAAACATTGGTCATCATTATGGTTTTGCTTCAAGATGATGTCACTCTTGCCATGTAATGGTCATTTTCCTACATTCCATGAGCTCAAAATTGGCTCTTACAATCTCACAAGCCCAAAGCTTTGGTAAAATAACCATTGTTTCCAATGCATCCTGTAAATATATTCTAGCCAGATGTGGTGAATCATGCCTGTAATTCTGGCACTTTGGGAAGCATAAGCCATAGAATTGCCTGAGCTCAGGGGTTCAAGACCAGCCTGGGCAACTTAGCAAGACCTTGTCTCTACAATAAATCAAAAAATTAGCCAGGCATGGTGGGTGGACCTGTAGTTCCAGCTACCTGGAAGGCTGAGGCAGAAGGATCGTCTGAACCCAGCAGGTTGAGGCTGCGGTAGGCGTGAGTGAGAATGCCACTGTCCTCCAACCTGGGTAACAGAGTGTTTTGACTCAAAACAAAACAAAAACAAAAACAAACCACAATATGTTCTTATTGAACTTATGCAAATAGCTACTATACCATAAAATGAGAAAACTGACAAATAGTTTCCAAATCTTGGAGGAACTATGTAGAGGGCAAATGTTTCAATTTTGCTTACAAAAGTATACTTTACCTAATTGCTGTAAGTTATAGATAGCTCAACATTTTTTAAAAAAGTTTTTTTTTATTCTTCTTCAGAGTAGCAACCTTCCACACAGGTTGTTGCCCGTTTCTCTTGGGACCACCACCCACAAACCAAGCAGCTCTTGGTTGGTCCGTGGGGAGATTTTGTGGGGCACAGTGGAACCCAGCAGCTTCTCACACAGTTCCAGAGTCAGTCCTGGGTAAAAGAGGCCCCTAATCTTGGGTATCTCCCCCCACACACTCTAGGTAGCAGTATCTTATAGGAACCATTTTCATTTTATTGGGGGAACTCTTCTGGGCACTGCTCTCCCCATTGGAGTGTTTCTCTAATATCACCTGAGACAGCATGGGTATTTCAGGTGTCACAATCATTGTATGTTCTTCAGTCACAGGGGTAGTCTCAGTTGACGTCCCATAGCAAGGTAGTAAGTGCCCTAAAATGGAAATTCTCTGGTCCAAAGTCCCAGTGGTCAGCCCTCAGAAGTTTTTTCCCTCAAGCCCCAGTAAATGTACCACAAAGGACTATCAAGGGGAGACTTGGTCCCCATCAGCATGCTGGCTTTTACTCTATACTCTGTGGGCTTGGGTGGTCTTACTGGCTCCCATTTAACATGTCTAATTAATATTGCTTGAAGGATGGATTTACATGCCTTCTGTTTCATAGTACTAAACAGGGGACACATTTCCCCAGTCAGATATGGTGTCCATTCTTGTAAAACACTTACCTAAGGGAGACAACAGTACCTTACATAAAGCCTGTTTAAACATTCTAACTTTCACAATCTCATCATGCCTTACATTTTTATGTTCTAGACTGAGGAACTTCTCTTTTCCACCCAGACAGATGGTCTTACTTCTCTTGTGCAGAGGACATTGAGTTCCCAGCAGTGGGTTGAGCCAAGGCATCAAGGTCCTTTTGTCAATCTTTACTGTGGTTAACCTGGCTCAACTGTTGCCCCAAACAATCCTTGGTCTGCCTTCTCATTGTAATCTCTGTCTTTCAGCTTTGTAAATTTCTCCAGGCTGGGGGAAATACAGCAACCAGGCTTGGGGCCCTTTAATGTTGAGGGAACAGCAAGGACTCATTTTGGTTCACCTGACCTTCAATAGTATTAAGACCTTTTTTTTTGCCCCATGAATTTCCATCTTATTCGTTTGATTTTTTAATAACTATCTAAAGATTTTCACCCTGCTGGGACAAGTCCTATGACTCTCCCTTCTCTTTTTCCTCTTTATTTCTTTCTATTTACTTTTATCTATTATCATTTTTCACTTCATTTTGAAACAACCTCTAAACTAGACAAAATTACCTTTTCTTTAGCAAAATCACATTATCATGTCCTTTGTATAACTTCTTCACCAAACATACATCTTTCTTTCTTTATACACTGTATATAGAGTTGTTGCTCTTATATATAGCAGTTTTGGTTACATGTTTTAACTACTATTTTAACATTTAGTAGTCCTAGTTTCCTGTGAAAAACCTGGGAAGTAATTTTAATTAAGCTCACGTACAAGTCAAGCAAGTATCAAAAACATCACATAAGCAATAGCTTTATGACTTTAAGATGGGGATCCCCAAACCCGGGGTCATGGATTGGTACTGAGCACCACAGCAGGAGGTGAGCAAAGCTTCATCTCAATTTACAGCCACTCTCCATCACTCCCATCACTCACATTACTGCCCGAGCTCTGCCTCCTGTCAGATAAGCAGCATAAGATTCTCAAAGGAGTGTGAACCCTATTGTGAACTGCACATACAAGGGCTCTTATTAGAATCTAATGCCTGATGCTCTGTGGTGGAGCTGAGGCAGTGATGCTAGCATTGGGGAGTGGCTGCAAATACAGATTAACGCTGGCAGTGAAGTTTGACTGCAGTAAATCAGAGATCACAGTAAATAAATTGCTTGTAGACTCATATCAAAACCCTATCTGTGAGTGGAAAGTGAGTTGATGTACTTCAATTGTACAGCTGCATCTGGTGGCAGACTTTAAGTCAGAATCTGACACTTATTTTAGTCCATTTGCGGCCTGCCCATCATTTTATTTACTACTTCCATCTGTACCTCTTTTTTTATTGTTTGTTGTATAATTATTTCATTATATATTACAGTGTAATAATAATAGAAATAAAGTGCACAACACATATTATGCACTTGAATAATCCTCAAACCATTCTCCGCTTCCTCTCCCTCCTCTGCCTGCGCCCTCCCTGCCTCCTGTCCATGGAAAAATTGTCTTCCACAAAACTGGTTCCTGGTGTCAAAAATGTTGGAGACCAGACCACTGCCTTAAGACATCTAGCAGAAATAGCCTAAACCTATCTGACCAGAAGACCCAGACAAAATATCTAAATTAAGTTCTGAAGATGTTTCTATTTTATTTTGCCAACAATTTTAAACTAGCTTTATTTGCTAACGATTATCTTAGATTGCATAGAAATGTCACATACACATAACACATATAGACACATAGACATGCAAACATACAGACAGAAGCAGATTTTATAGCTTTTCTAAAGAATGATCATTTGCCAGCTTTCAACTAGTTTTTATTTTCTCCTTTGTTGCCCTTTGTGGATTACCATGCATACCCTATAGCAATTTATTTTTCATCCTATCAGTAAAAACTGCATGATCAGGTCCCACAAAAACCTGAGCACAGAATTGCTTCATTCCCAATTCCCAGAGAAGCCCCTGGGCCTCTTGAATTGACTGCCAGGAGGCTGTCCCTCCTGGTAAACCTTGATTGGGCCAAACCTCTCTCAAAGCTAGGCTGGTAAGTTGCTCTTCACCAAAGCAGATTTTCTGGGAAAGGGTAATAATCCTAAAATTGTAAGATTTGATTCTTGGATTTTCTCCATGGCACTGCTATTAGTAACTGAAGTAATTTTTTTTTCTTAACTTGGATTTTAGGATAAAGAAGGTGGTTTTATGGTAAGGGACTCCAGTCAGCCTGGCTTGTACACAGTCTCCCTTTATTCAAAGTTTGGAGGGTGAGTAATTCAATTTTTAAAAAAATTAACGTTTTTGTTTGAACCTCCTGTATGGATTTCTAATTTAAAAAAAATGCTGTATCTCAGCATAAAAACAGAAAACCTGAACTTGATTTCTAAAGTCTGTAGTATCTCTTTGTGTTTATATTTCAGCAAGTTTCTCTATTGTTTCCACATGTGCATTTGTTAAGAATGGTTCTAGTAACTTTAGTAATGGTCAGCAAATAATTACCGTGCACTAAGGAGACCAGCAAGGGCAGCGTAGGCACAGGCCCCACCCTCTGCCAGCTCAGTGTCTACACAGGCAGACAGGGAGTTATGGTGGCACATGATGGCAGGTCACAGTGGTGTGAGCTGCCATGGCAGTGGCGTGTGGCAGTGATGTGTAGTATGGTGCACAGTGGTGGTGTGTGGTGGTGGCATATGATGGCAGTGTGTGGTGGTGGGCGTATAGTGGTAGCAGAAGGTGGTGGCATGCAGTGGTGACATGTGGTGGCATGGTGTATATAGTAGTATATAGGTAAGTGCCATCCAGGAGAATAATCTGTGAGTGGTGGTGGCGTGTGATGGTGGCACGTGGTGATGGGTGTGTGGTGGCGGTGTGTGGTGGTGGTGTGTGGTTGTGGCTACGTGGTGGTGGCATGTTTCGGGGGCATATGGTGTTGGTATGAGGTGGTGGCATGTGGTGGTTGCATATGATGGTGGTGCATGGTGGCAGTGCATGGTGGTGGCATGTGTGGGGTGGTGGTGCATGATGGTGGCATATAGGCAAGTGCCATGCAAGAGGGTAATGTGTGAATGGGGGTGGGGGTAGGGGGTGGTACACAGCCTGGACACATCTTGAGTCCACCATAAGTCTTGGCCCAAGTGACATCCAGGATGAGATCTGACAGGTGAGGCAGGACAGTTTGGATGGAGGGGAAGGAGTGTTTCTGACCCAGAAAACTGCCTGGACTCTAAGGGCAGAGAGGGCATGGTGAATTCAGGGCACTGGAAAGGCATATTGCAGCTGGACTGTGGAGTGGGAGGAAAAGGGGAGGGGGAAACCCGAGGTACACACAGAGGCAAAGTCATGCCAAGGTCATGTCCTGTCGGAGATCCTGGACTTTATTCTAAGAGGGGCAGGAGTCGTCTGGGAAGTATTTTAAGCAAGAAATAGCCAGAGAAGCCCTACATTCTAGATCTAAAGATGAATGTGTGCATTTATACATTTAACTTATTCACGTGAGAGGTGTAAGTGTCCAGAAATTTGCAAGTTGTGTCAACAGCAGGATACTAGCTGCTCCTAGCTGTTTTGACCTTGAACTGTTGTTAGATGGAGGTGATAAATGTCCTCTTTCAAAATCTCAGGCAAGGGACCACGTATGTTATCAGTGACCCCTTTAAAACTTCTGCCTGTTGATGTGAAGTGAAGCTGGGAAGAAGAACATGGGGAAAAGTAAAACATGTGCCAGGAATAGAAGGAGCCGTGTGGGGGGGACCCCGGGTTACCACCTGAAAGCACCTGTGCACTGACTACATTGTTTCTGCTTGACTCTGACACATTCCGGTTTCTGTTGCAGAGAAGGCACATCGGGTTTCAGGCATTACCATATAAAGGAAACAGCAACATCTCCAAAGAAGTATTACCTAGCAGAGAAGCATGCTTTTGGATCGATTCCTGAGATTATTGAATATCACAAGCACAACGCAGCGGGTACGTGAGCCGTCAGCACCGATTTCAGTGTGAGGTGGGGATTAACATGATCAGATGTTAGATGAATTCTTCTTTGAGCAGTTTTATGTCACAGTTAGTAAATCATAAAATGTGATTGGTTTAAAATTAGTGCTTATTGATAGAGTGATATATAAAAAGGAAAAATCAGAAATAGTGTCAAGTGTTATAGGAAGCTCCATCTTGACCTTAGGACCTGAGTTATCCTGAGTGGTTGATGGCATTGGTTCACATCTCTGTGGTTTTGGTCCTTGGGACTAAACTAAAATCGAAGATGTATCTTCAGAGAGGTCACAGCAGCCACCATGTGAACTAGAATTTGTCCTGTGCTGTGGGTTTCCAGGACTGGAGTCAGTATGTCCTGTACACCTACCATCTTCCTAAACTACTGTGGACACACCCCTAGAGTGGGAACAAACCAAACACCCCCAAACAAGAACAGAAACCACATGCATGATTCTTAGAGTCCCACAGGACTATCTAGAAAGATTTCTAGCATTTGACTTTAAAGATGTGACCAGGCAAGGGAAAACCAAGTGCCTAACCCAATTAATGGAAGATTAACTTTTGAAATTTTATCCAAGGCACTCTTTGCAAAGTCTGTTATTTTGTGACTCTTTTCACTTTTTTCAGATTATGATAAGAACAGTTACTGAATTGATTAGGTGCATAACATGCACCTGTAGTCCCAGTTATTTGGGAGGCTGAGGAGGAAGGATCACCTGAGCCCAGGAGGTTGAGGCTGCGGTGAGCTGTGTTCATGGCACTGCACTCCAGCCTGGGAGACAGAGTGAGGCTCTGACTCAAAAAAAAAAAAAAGAACATTTACTGGGATATAATTATTTACATACCATAAAGTTTACCCATTGAGTGTGTACAATTCAGTGGTTTCTATTATATTCACAGAATTGTGCCAACTGTCACTGTAATCTAGTTTTAAGAATGTTATCATCGTCCCACAAAAAAATCTTATACCCGGTGGCCATCAGCCTGCTTCCTTTCCCCAGTCCAGCCCCAGGCAACCATTAACCTACTTTCTGTCTCTGTAAGATTTGCCTGTTTTGGACATTTCATATAGATAGAATCATAGACTATGTGGTCTGTTGAGACAAGCTTCTCTGACTTAAAGTTTCTGACATCTGTCCATGTTGTAGCATGTATAAGCATTCCATTCTCTCTCTCTTTTTAAAAATCTACATTACAAGTTTATTGGAATAATCAGATACTATAAATAAAGTGCACAGGGCCTGATACATAGTAGTGGCACCATAACTTCTGCCTAATGTTGAGTTACCACCCAGAACCTGGCATGATATCTGTGGCATGGTGAGATTCTCAGGCCAGCATAGACATCCACATTGAACTCTTAGGAAAAATAGAAGTTCCAAATTCAGCATAAAAATGCTAAGTGGTGAGACAGAAAATCAGCCCCTATATCTCCAAACCAGAAGAGTTGTTTTAATACCCACCTGTTGTGTTAGAAGGTCATACTTCCTCTGCTTATGAATCCATGACACAGGCTGAGTATGTACAATCTATAGACAACGAAATTAGGGGGAAAATTGCTGAAGGTGTCTCTAGGGGTTCTGGGTAATATAAATGGCCATCCATACTTTTTGCTGTGCTGGATTGCCTGAGCACCTCCTTAGAAACTGGCTTGTGTAGTCTTCTTAAGTCTGATATGTCTCAGGAAAGAGGTCCCCTCAGGGAAGATGTAATTTCTAAATTCAGTCAACCTGCTGGATATGGTACCCATTTCTTTTGATGGATGAATAATAACCCACTGTACGGATTGTGTTTATTGTTCATCATATGGTAGACCTTTGGGTTGTTTCCCTGTTTGTTTCTACATTAGTCCATTTTGCATTGTGGTAAAGGAACACCTGAGGTGAGGTATTGGGCTCATGGTTTTGTAGGCTCTCTGAGAAGCATGGTACCAGCATCTGCTTCCCATTAGGACCTCAGGAGGCTTACAATCATGGTGGAAGGGAAAGGGGGAGCAGGTGAGTCATGTGATGAGAGAGGAAGGAAGAGAGGAGGGCGATGCCAAGGCTCCTTCAAACAACCAGCTCCATGTGAACTCAGGGAAGCGAGACTCACTTGTGACCATGAGAACAGCACCAGCCCTTCAGGAGGGATCTGCTCTGTGGTCCAGACACCTCCCGCCAGCCCCACCTCCAACACTGGGGACCACTTTTCGGCATGAGATTTGGAGGGGACAAACGTTCAAACTCTATCAGGTTTCCCATGAGTCATGCTTCTGTGAACAGTTGTGTGCAAGTGTTGCATGGAAGTGTGTTTGCATCTCTCTCTTTGTCTGTATATAAGCTGGGCCATGTGATATCTCCAGATTTAACGTTTGAGGAACTGATTTCATATCAATCTATTCCTATCTCTCTTATTTTGCTATTTGTCTTTGTTGGTGTTTATTTTCTCCTATTTTTTTCTTCTATATTCTTATATAAGTTTTATTCTTTGCCTCTATCTCAATTCGTTCAACACACACGTGTCAAGTGCCTCCTGCATGCTACGAACTCAGCCAGGTCTGGGGGCCTACAGTGGGCTGGGTGTAGTCATTGATCCTGATTTCTCCAGATCTTACCACTTAGGGAGAGACAGAGGAGTACATGACAATTTTAAATCATTGAGATATGAGGGGGACCAAAAAAATGGAATGTATTTATTAAAAATTGTGTACTTGTTCTTACATGTTTAAACTTTAATCACTTTCAAGGTACTCTCTATTTGATGCAATATACCTGTCGACATGCTTTTCCACTGCTAAAAACAGTTTTTGAGCTCATTAATTTTGGTGCTTTTTAGTGCTTCTACAGTTTTTTTGTTTCACCTCTTCCACGTGGGTAAAACATTTCCCTTTGAGGATTTTTTTTTTTTTTAAGCTGGGAAAACAAACAAACAAAAAAGTGGCTCAGGGTTAGATCCAGTGAATAGGGAGGGTGGGGCACATGGGGATCATGCTGTTTTTGGTTAAAAACTGCTGAACACTTAGCATGTTGTGGGCAGGTATGTTGTCATCATGGAAGAACCAGTCACCTGTTTGCTACAACCCAGGATATTTCTTCTGCAATCATGATGCAACCTTCTCAAAACTTCCAGATATAAACTTTGGTGGACCATTTGATCTGAAGAAACAAATTCCATGTATGCTACAAGGGGCCTGCCCTCCAAAAAATAATTTCAGTCATTTGTATGCTGTCAGGAAATACAGAGAATTGTGGGTGTTTACAGGAGGCATCTCCTATGTCTACTTAGTGCTGTAATCGACTTGGATTAAGGGATTTAACTTTCCTTCGTGATTTCCAGTTGTTGACATTCCCAGTTGTTGGTATTTTAGTGTCTCGTTTTTATGCTGAGACAGCTCACACTGAGTTATGTCGAGTGAGTCACTTTAATTTTTAGCAGACTAACATAACTCCCTTTCATAGTTCAGCTCTCACACTGAAAAAGTACGTGAAATAATAATCGCTAGAAACCTTTTAGCATCCTTTGAAATATTTGCGACAAGAGAAAGCTAGCAGGATGCCTGATAGACATGATGGAGTTTAAAAGGTGTTTGTTGAACGAATAAAGACATGTAGCACAGTGCTGCACGTGCATGCAAAGATGAGCAGTACATGAGTCAGTGATGGATTCTGTGAGTTTCTGATTCAGCACTGACAATGCAGGGTGGTCATGCACAAGCTTGACTGCGACATTCTCTTTGGCTGCAGGACTTGTCACAAGGCTGCGGTACCCGGTTGGCGTGAAGGGACAGAGTGCACCTACCACCGCGGGATTCAGCTACGGTAACCCCCAGTTTGTGGGTGCATTAGCTCATGTTCCTTGGAAAGAGTCAATTATCACTAGACAAATTTGGGTGTGTAGAATTCCACGTAGTATAATTTTTATTTTTTAAATAAATGAGGTTTCACTCTGTGGTCTAGGCTGGAGGTCAGTGGTGGGAAACATAGTTCACCACAGCCTCAACCTCCTGGGCTCAGGTGATCCTCCCACCTAAGCCTCCCAAGTAGCTGGGACTACAGGTATGCTCCACCATGCCCAGCTAATTTTAAAAGATGTTTGTTGAGATATGGTGTCACTATGTTGTCCAGGCTGATCTTGAACTCCTGGCCTCAAGCGATCCTCCCACTTTGGCCTCCCAATGTGCTGGTGTGAGCCAGTGTACCTGGCTTAGAACTATTTTTATATGTTTATAGTATGACTTTCTAGGTGATTATATTCATAGCTGTAGTAATTCTAGGTTTTCTATTTTCATCATTATTCATAATTCAGTAAAACTTTCTGTTAGTGAAAAACCAGCATTATCATGTTGCATCTAAAAAAACTCAAAGCCCTTCTTGGTCCTCCCACTGTTACTTACAGGAGTGTAAGAACAGAGGGGAGTGAGAAGGCTTCCAGCCTGATAGCTTTTGTTGCTCCTGGCAGAAGCCTTTACGTGGGGGGATCAAAAGATCTCAGAATTTATTTAGAAAAAATTTTGTATTTATTCTCACATGTTTAAACTCCAGTCACCTTCAAAGCACTCTCTGTTTGATGCAATACACCTGTCGAGATGCTTTTTTCACTGCTCAAAACAGGTTTTGGAGTCATCCATTTTGATGCCTTTTAAGCTTCTGCCCTTTTTTGTTTCACCTCTTCCACATTGGTAAAATGTGGACTTTTTCATCCAGAGAAAGAAAAAAAGAAGTCATTCAGGGCAAGATTGGCTGAACAGGGAGGGTGGGACATGGGAGTCCAGCCATTTTTGGTGAAAAATTGCTGGACGGTCAGTGTGGTGGGCGGGTGTACTCATAAATCACCCACTATGAAATGGGCAAGTGCCTTGAAAGAATCTCTAAAAAACATTCACTGAAGCTGAACACAGCCTCTCATAATACCAGCTGGTTCACAGATAACAATGGGTTGCTAGAATATTTCCCTAGGGTGGGGGGAAGCTGGTACTACATAGGGCCTGCCCTCCAGAAGATAATTGTGGTTTTGTTTTCAGTCTCCTCTTGCAACACAGCAGGCTAAATTATTTCCAACTTGATATAGTTGAAAAAGAAAAAAAAATCCCAAGTGGAAATAGTGGCAAAGGGAAAAGTATCATTTTCAAAAAGTGGCTGCAGCTCTCAAGCTGTATTGCTACTAGCCTGTTACGTAGTGTCGCCTTTCTCAGTCCTCTGTGCTTGTGGGTGACACTTCGAGGGCCTTCCTACCCCAAGGGACGAATGCTGCCTTGCACAGGCCAGAGGCAGGTTGGCACATCTGTCCCGTGTGTGGCTGGTGATGCTTCAGGGTTGCCCATGGCTCTGGGGCTGCTGATCTTGGCCATCGGTTCCTCCATGATTCCTGCCGTGTCCTCCTTACGATTCATTCTGCCCCACTCACCCCTCGTGTCTTGCAGAGAAGTGGGAAATCAACCCCTCGGAGCTGACCTTCATGCGGGAGTTGGGGAGTGGACTGTTTGGGGTGGTAAGGCTGGGCAAGTGGAGGGCCCAGTACAAGGTCGCCATCAAGGCCATCCGGGAAGGTGCCATGTGTGAGGAGGACTTCATAGAAGAGGCCAAGGTGATGATGTAAGTGGTCCTCATCTTCCCAGCTCCTTCTGTTGTATTAAAAAGTGGCCTCTCTCACAAAGATGGGACAAAAAGACATCAGGACACTGAAAAGAGGGGAACTTGGGGTTTGGAAATTACCTGTTGGGGACAGTGTTTACTGTCTGGGAATGGGTCACCTGGAGTCCAACCTCCACCATTCCTCAATGCATGTGTGCCCCTCAGTCTGAAATAAAATAAAAGGCTAGATGCAGTGGCTCATGCCTGTAATTGCAGCACTTTGGGAGGCCGAGGTGGGAGAATCACTTGAGCCCAGGGGTCTGAGACCAGCCTGGGAAACACAGCAAGACCTTGTCTCTACAACAAAACAATAAAACAAATTAGCCAGGCATGGTGGCACCTATAGTCCCAGCTGCTTGTGAGGCTGAGGTGGAAGGATGGTCTAAGCCCAGGAAGTTGAGACTACAGTGAGTTGTGATTGTGCCTCTGCACTTCAGCGTGGGCAATGTCGTGAGACTCTGCCATAAATAAATAAATAAATGAATGAATAAATGAAAGCACAAATAAATCAGTAGAAAATTATAAACAAGCTGTACAAAGAAAATAATAATCACCAACATTTGTACAGTACTTTGAGTCCTAACCTAAATCTAAAGTATCTCTTGCCTGTTTTCCAATGCTTCTAACACTTGCAAGTGTTTTCATTTTGTTTTGCATTGCGCAGGCTGGAGTGCAGTGGCACAATCACGTCTCACTGCAGTCTCAACCTCCTGGGCTTAGGCCACCCTTTGTATTAGCTACATAATGGTCTATTGTATGAAAACACCACAGTTTATTAAATGATGGTGCACTTGATAGAAGAAAAAATAAGTGATCCCTTTAGTAACAAAGACACAGAACCCACTGGGGTGCCCACCCTCAGTGGACTGGATAATGAAGAAAATGAGGGACACACATACCTTGGAATACGACATAGCCACAAAAAAGACCAAAATCATGTGCTTTGCAGCAACATGGGTATGGATGGAGACCAATGTTCTAAGTGAATAATCATAGAAACAGAAAAAGTGCCACATGCTCTCCCTTATGAGAGGGAGCAAAACCCTGTATGTTAAACACGGGGGCTTTGGAGTGTCCCAGAGGTTAAACACTTTCCACGGGCACTGCGTCCACCACATGGGGACAGGCTTAGTGGAAGCCCAAGCTTTACCATTGTGGGCATTTCTGCGTCACACACACACCTCTTGAATCTAACAATAATAACAGATATTAGGTTGCCTTGTTTAGTTTAAGAATAGAGATTAATTTACTATGGAAACTTCCTTGATGTATGCTCCTAATGTATAGGTTTCTGATTAATTAAAATTGCATTGACTGGGGTCTAAAATGGGGAGAAAGTGCCAGAACCCTGGCGGTTTCTTTTCCCACAGTAATTACATGTATGTGTGTGTGTGGGTGGCTGTGTATGTCTGTGTGTGTGTCTCTGTATATGTCTGTGCGTGTCTGTTTGTGTCTATGTCTGTGGGTCTGTACGTGCCTGTGTGTGTATCTCTGTGTGTGTGTGTCTGTGTCGTGTCTGTGTGTGCTGTTTGTGTGTGTGTGTGTGTGTGTCTGGGTGCGTGTCTGTGTGTTTCTATCTGTGCATGCGCATGTGTGTCTTTCTTCCAGGAAGCTGACACACCCCAAGCTAGTGCAGCTCTATGGGGTCTGCACACAGCAGAGGCCCACCTACATTGTCACGGAGTTCATGGAGAGGGGCTGCCTCCTGAACTTCCTGCGGCAACGACAAGGTCACCTGGGCAGGGACGCCCTGCTGAGCATGTGCCAGGACGTGTGTGAGGGCATGGAGTATCTGGAGAGGAACAGCTTCATCCACAGGGACCTGGTGAGCTGTCCGCAACGCTGGCAGGCTGCGCTCCTTAGAGGTCTGGCCACACGGGCCAAGGTGCTTGTTCTTAGCAGCGTGTCTGCTACCCTGACATTGAGACTTGGTACATGCAACGTGCCAGTGATCTTAAAGGACAGATCTTCATGAACTCTAATAATATACATAGTTGACAACTCTAAGCATTTTCTGTGCAGGAAGTATTTGAGCTCCCTAAGAATCCCAGAGACGTGGCCCCCAGTGAATGTGATCACCCCCGCTGTGTAACAGAAGGGAACATCAGCTATGGGGGGCCACTATGCCAGATGGGAAGTGGGAACCAGCCTTGACCTTCTGAGGAGACCCCAAATTCCTTCCTGCCGCACAAAAACAGCAACCGTAGCAAAATCCCATGGTTCATTTTCTTTATTTCTGAAATCCTGGGAGAAGATGGAGGCTCGTGGTAACCTCTGAAAAAACCAGAGAGGAAATCTGTCCCAGGTTCTGAGTGACTGTGAGGGAGACACTGCTTAATTTTTCCTTCTTTCCCCTCTTATCCTGTCTCT